GATTTATACGTTTTGCGTTGCTTTAATTAATAATTTTGCAAGGGAATACAGCGACAAGCATAATTTCACTACAAATACTTATACATGATAATAAAGGAAAACACTTTATAACTAGGCGGACAATAAATCAATGTGTCTCCAAGAGCCCTTGGAGACTTGTGTAAACCACCTCAGTTCACCACTCAAGCTGACAGATGTTCTTTTTCCTCAAAATGCCTCAACGCTTGAATGCACCTCTGAGCACTGTCTCACTCTCCTAGTTTGGTTCTCTCTGATTTTCCTTATATACTTGCCCTGATCTGACAGATTAATTGGTTTGGAGCAGCCGGACCGGGAAGTCCTCTTACCCTGGTCTCTAGGACGACTCTAATAGAGTTTTCTCCCACACGAGTAAAAGGCAAATTTCCTGCTCCCCAGGAGGGGGATACAGGCCTTCCCTACGCAGCGCAGCTATCCCAAATTGGAAGGAATGAGGCTTTGGACATACCCGGGCCAAGCAGATAGGAGGAGGGAATAATCCTGGTCTCGTCTTAACAAGTGAAGAGTTAGGTCTGATCTCGTCTCAGAGAGGCCAGAGATAAATCCAAGACTCGTCTTAGACCGGCGTGTTCCATCTCCTTCGGGTGCCCCTGCCTTCCGAGCTGCGTGCTGAAGTCCTTTCTGCTCTTCTCTTTCTCCGGCTTGCTTGTGCTTGTGCCCCGTTCTGCCTGACTAAGGGACTTTTATACACTTTTTCCCCCTCCCCTAAGGAGGTTCAACTGTCTCACTATACGCCTCAACCAATCACTCCTCTCATTGGGACATATGAGACCATGCCCAGGGGGTGCATCAGGCGCTTACTTTCCAAAGTTTACTTTTTAATTTAATTCATTTTGAAAGCTGTTAATGCTTTTCCTCCCATTACCAAATCAGCATGGAAGTTGCCTTGTGTATTCTCGAGATTGGGACATATGAGAATCATGCTCAGAGGGTGCACCCAAGCGTCTACTTTTCAAAGTTTACTTTTCAATTTAATCACTCTGGAAGCTGTTAATGTCCTTTCTTCATTAGCTTGAAAGTTTTTAATGTCTCTTCTTAATTAGCTTGAAGGTTGCTAATGTCTTTTCTTAATTAGCTTGAAAGTTGTTAATGTCTTTTCTTA